GTTAATTGCATGTCCAGTCAGGTCACTGTCCGGCTTACAGTGACATAAGCTCTTACAATATATCCTATGGTAATGAAAGATCAATTTTAACTAATCAACTGTGCTTATCCTACACCATGTATGCTTTCTTTTCTTTGCGGGGAACACTAAAGGCTTTAGGTGGGTGTAATGACATTTTTTTTTTCTTTTTACACTTGTTGACGCTGTAACTAGTTTTGAACATTTGTCACTGTTGTTGTGTTAGTTGCATGGTTGTATTAAATTGTTGCTTAACAATGATGCAGGGAGTGGTATGGATGGCATTTTCCTGAGCTGGTCAAAGTCGTGAATGACAACTACCTTTATGCTAAGCTTGCCAAATTTGTAGCAAACAAATCTGATTTGTCAGAGAAAGACATTCCAGCTTTAGCAGATCTGATTGGAGATGAGGACAAGGCAAAAGAAATTGTTGAAGCAGCAAAGGCATCTATGGGTAACAACAATGTTCACAATTGGTATGCTTCTCAGTTGTTACCACGGTTGCTTAGTTTATGTAATCTTCTTTTTATTTTCAGGCCAGGACCTTTCACCAGTTGATTTGATCAATGTCCAACAGTTTGCTCAAAGGGTCATGAATCTATCTGAGTACCGTAAAAATATCTACGAGTATCTGGTGACAAAGATGAATGATATTGCACCAAATCTGACGTCATTGATTGGTGAAATGGTTGGAGCTCAGTTAATCTCTAATGCTGGCAGTCTTTCGAATCTTGCAAAATTACCTTCCTCCTCTCTCCAGATACTAGGTGCCGAGAAGGCAATGAGAAGGTAATTGTGACCGCATTGTCTGCTTATGTATTCCCACGTCCTATTTTTTCAAGCTGTGCTCTCTCATTTGTAATTGTCCTTATACTCAAACAATAACTGTTTTGTCAAGTATTCAGGCTTTGTCCTCTATGTTTCTGATATGTTGTGATTGATTTCCTAATTTTACTGCAGAGCTCTTAAAACAGGTGGAAACACACCGAAGTATGGCCACATATTCCACTCATCTTTCATTGGCCGTGCATCGACGAAGAACAAGGGAAGAATGGCTAGATACCTGGCAAGCAAATGCTCAATGGCTTCACGCATTGACTGTTATTCAGGTAAGTTGAAGGACTTTGTTTGCAAAGGTTAAACATCCTGACTGCCCTTTCTGTTTGTTTTCCTCACTGTCACTGGGTTATGAATTCCAGATATGAGTAGCTCCATTTTCGGTGAGAAGATGCGGGAACAAGTCGAGGAGAGATTAGACTGTTGTGAAAAGGATGTTGCAGCACGCAAGTACCTTGATGTAACGAAGGCTGCAATTGAGTGTATGACCAACACAGTCTCAGAGGAGGGTAAGGGCACTTCTCTTTATACATTGGTCTCTCAATCACTTAACTTCCAAGTCTTTCTGTACATGTGTAAATTTACACGTTGCCCTGAACAATTCTTTCACAGATAAAGAGGAGAACGGTGGGAAAAAAGAGTCTAATTCCGAGGCTGATGATGACGCTATGCATCTTGATAAGCCTGCTATGCACTCGACGTTGTGCACCCGATTGGCCATCGTCGAACTGTAGTCCTACATGCTACTAGTAGAATGCCACGCACGGGATTTTGATATTTTTTGCTGGAGTTGTATATAAACAATGCGTGTCAAATTTCACATGTATAGAAAGACAGCACGGGCACAGTCGGGTAATAATTGAAGTCCAACTAATTTTAGGAAGGATATCTTTAGCTTCATTCGCATGATACTTGAGGAAGTATTATTGAATGGGTTCGTGTAAGCCTCATCTAGATGAGACATTGTAATGCCACATCTGAGTGACATCACTATTAGATTGTAGTCTGGTGCTTCCTCAATTCTGCTTTTCACTTGTGTGTTGTTGCTGTGGTTGTTTTGACGTTGTTTTTTTTTACCCTGCAAGCCTTTTCTTTTGCCGCCTGTCACTGTAGTCCTCGTTCAGCCGTGAGTCGCCCTATCTCCGTATGTGCATTAGTGCATACACAAACAACCATGCTACCGAGGTGTGTGCATGCCTGCATGGATAAGCTAGTTAGCTCACGATTCAGCAAAATTTTCTCAACCTCCTATGTACTGATCTGATAAATGGATGAATGATTGTGATAGGAACAAACATACGTGATAAACAAGAACTATAGAAAAAGTGTTTGTAAATTTTAAAATTGTTCATGGATACAAAAAAAATGTTTGTGAGTACTAAAAATGCTAATAAATTTAGAAAATGTCCGCGCATGTAAAAAATTTCCATGAAATATTTAATTATGCATGAACTTAAAAATATTTGTGAATTTGAGAGAATTCAAAAAAAATCATGATTTTTTTTTCAAATCACAAATATGAAGGATGTCGCCGTTTTAAAAGGTTCACAATTTTAAGAAAATGTTCATGATTTTTTAAAATAAAACAAAAAAAATCATGACTGTCTTTAAATTATGGACATGTGACTAGTCAACAATCTAGTTGAATAGGGAGAAAGAAGGGATAAGGCCCAGTTGCATGTCGGATGTCGACTTACAATTGGGGAAAAAAGGAGCCCCTCCTCCTAGTTGCATGTAAGGATGAACTTGCAACTGGGACAAATAATGGGTTACATATGAAATGATGGACTCACAACTAGGACAACAAAAAAGATGGCCTACCGGGAACAGAAAATGGGTCGACCCACCTCGCCCGAGTTGCATGTCGAGGATGGACTTACAACTGGGGACAAAACAACTGCGTGTCGGGGGTGGGCTTGCAACTAGGACAAAAAAGGAGGTAGACCCATTTGCATGTTGAGAGTAGACTCACACCCGGGACGAAAAATGTGTCTTGCCTAGTTGCATGTCGGATCTGAACTTGCAACTGAGACAGAAGGGATCGGGCCTCAGTTGCATGTCGATGATGGACTTGAACCTGGGACAAAAAGTAGGTCAAAGTCCAGTTGCATCTTGGGGGTGAGCTTGCATCGGGGACAAAAGGTGTCGGGGTGGACTTGTAACTGGGACAAATAATAGGTCATCCCCAGTTGCGTATGACAGATGGAATCACAACTAGGAGAACAAAAGAGGCGAGCCTAGTTGCATCCTGGGTGGACTTGCAACTGAGACAAAAAAAAGAGTCGCCCTCCTCCCCCTCCCTCAGTTGCGTGGCGAGGGTGAACTTGCAACCGAGACGAAAAAGGGTCAGATCTAGTTGCATGTCAGAGGTAGCGCTTGCAGTTGCATGTCTAGTAGGAGACATGCAACTACCCACTTTTGCCTCCCAAGTTACGTCCGCTTTGAAAACATGCTGTTTTGAGGCATGGGTGATACTTGCATTCACGTGTTTGGTGATGGACATGCAACTTACAACAAAAAAAAAGAGTTCAAAATGTTCATAAATATTTAAATGAAAACGAGGAAAAAAATAGCAAAAAAGAAAAAGGGAAAGGGAAAAAAATCACAACCCACACAAAAAGGAAAAGGTTTTTAAATTTTCTTCAAAAAGACAATCATATGCATAATTATGTTTAGAATTGAAAAATAAGAAAAAACTGTTGAAAATATACCCTAGAGACAATAATATTTGTATTATTATATTTCCATATTCCACTCATCTTTTATTGGCCGTGCATCGACCAAGAACAAGGGAAGAATGGCTAGATACCTGGCAAACAAATGCTCAATTGCTTCACGCATTGACTGTTATTCAGGTTAGTTGAAGGATTTTGTCTGCAAAGGTTAAACATCCTGACTGCCTTTTTTGTTTGTTTTCCTCACTGGGTTATGAATTCCAGATATGAGTAGCTCCATTTTCAGTGAGAAACTGCGTGAACAAGTCGAGGAGAGATTAGACTTTTATGACAAGGGTGTTGCACCACGCAAGACCCTTGATGTAATGAAAGCTGCAATTGAGGGTATCACTTAATTTCAAGTCTTTCTGTACATGTGTAAATTTACACCTTGCCCTCTTTCGCAGACAAGGAGAAGAAGGAGAACGGTGACATGTCTGCCAAGAAAAGTAAGAAAAAGAAGTCCAAATCTGAGGCTGATGGTGACGCCATGGATCTTGATAAGTCTGCCAATACGGCCGCAGCAGAAGCTGAACCTGAGACAGAGAAGAAGGAAAATAAAAAGAAGCACAAGCTAGAGGAGCCCCAGGATTAAGAGATGGCAGCCAATGGCGACGGCGAACAAGATGAGACTCCAAAGAAAAAGAAAAAGCAGAACCGTGATGCTGCAGAGCCTGTTGAGCCTAAGACAGCCAGAAAGAAAGAAGAAGTCCAAAACCGAGGCCGATGATTAGACCAGAACCTCTTTGCTCTGCTTAATGAAATTAAACATCTACTAGTGTACTAATTTATGTACAACCATGGATCTAATCGGGTCTCGACTATTGAATCTTTCATCCTATGGTGGTGCTGACCACATTTTGAGGTCTATATATAATGCGGAGGAGCATGGATTGAGGAGGCTGTTCAAATATTGCCGTTTAGAGCATGTTTTGCGATTCATGTTTCGTATAGTAACAAGTAGTCCTGTCGCACTACAGTAGTTTGGTCTTGCATTTCTTGATTAGCACTTGAGATGTTTTGATTGGATGTGCGTTCTTCAGGGTCTTTTATTGCCTGGTTCTGTCAAATCTTGTTTCGAAGTTGTTTCTCTCTGCACTTGGACACATTTTGAGTTCTATAATCTAGAAGAGCATGAATTGAGGAGCCTGCTCAGCTAGTGAGTAGAGTAGCCCTGTTGCACTAGTCTGCTTTTCATTTTTTGAACAAGATGTATTAATGTTAACTTGACATTTTTTCCAGAGAAATGTTAGGTTGACATCACTGTTGCCTGGTTTTGTGGAATCTTATTTCTCCTCTGCACTAGAGTTTCAGTTACATACACTTACATAGATCCTGGCATCCTGCCTCTTGTGGTTTTGGATTCCCCATGATTGTGCATGTGATTTCTGAAAACATATTGTCATAAGATGAATGCTAATGGCACTGGAGTTACAAAATCACTTCAGTTGCTGAGGTAATGGACTTAGTGATTTTGCTCTTCCTGTTGGTTGCCCCTTTCGTCTGGACTGAAATGCTGGGTTGCTGGTGTACTGAAATGCTGGGTTGTTGGTGTACTGAAATGCTGTGTTTACCCTTTCTGCCTTTTCTCCATTCCTTCTCAACACCGTCTTTGCTCTTCCTACTCTTCGTCCCTTCCGTCAGGAGTGAAACACTCTGCTTGCTCTTGCTACTCTTACTCACTTCCTCCAGGACCTGCTCCACTTCATGAACCACCCCGAGCCTCCCGAACCATGCCGCGAGCAGCTGCGACGGCTCTTGGCCGATCACGACACCGTTCTCTTCGAGCTCCGTTAGAAACTCCAGTGCTCCTTCCAGCCTATTGGCCTTCTCGTACGCGCCGAGTATCAACGCGACACACCTGTCGCACAGTTCCAGTCCTGCACTCCTCATGTTTCGGGTCACACAGACGGCCTCGTCGATCCTATTGGAGAGGCAGTAGGCATTCACCAGGAGCGCACACAGCTTCGTGTCTGGCACTGTCCCTGCGAACTGTACCGCATCGAAGACTCGTTGCGCCCCTTCTGAATCGCTTTTGTACGAGTATGCTCTCAGGAGAGCCTTGTAGACCTCTTTCCCCGCGAAGACCTGCTGATCCTCCGTCTGTTTGATCAGATCTTCTGCTTGGTCTAACATGTCTGCTCTGATATAGGCCATGATCATTGAACCGTATGCCCGCTTATCGAGTGGTAGGCCGAGCAACACAATCTCTTCGAATGTTTCCTTTGCGCGGGTGAGATCCCCGGCCTTGCTGTACATGTCCACCAGTGCAGTCAGCATGACCTGATCACATGGGAGGCCTCTGGCTTTCATGGCCTGGAATGCTTCCTCGGCTTCCGGCAACAGATTTTGCTTGCCGTAGATTTGCATCAGTTTGGTGTAGTCACGCACATTCGCTTCGAAAGAATCCTCCAGAAGTGCATATTCTAGTACCTAGCCAACACACAGTCCATTCGTAAGGTCACATCGGCGACAAAATTAATGCTAATAGTCACCATTGATGCAAATTAGAAGTTCAGTCATTCCTAATTCAATGTTCAGTAAGGAGCTCAGATCAGAAGTTCAGAAAATTCTAAACTCAAAATTCCCTAAAGAAGATGTGAGTAAACTAAGAGCATGTTCATTCTCCAAGCAAATAAAATCTCACTCGGGCAATGGTGGTGCCAAAAAATAACAACGATGTCAACCTAGTACAGCAACATGCAGAGAGCATTTCAGTTTCTCAAGTATAGCTAATTCAATTGCCTCATAAACATGAGAATGGTTACTCCCTAGGTGATTCTAGTACTTCAGCAACCACCCCTAACCACAATCCAGCAAACGCACCATGTAATTTTAATCTGCTCCAAAGATTTAGCAACGAGATTGGGGGAAGAAAATGATCACTGACCTCAGCGAGAAGCGGGCTCTCCATAGCCTTGAGCTCCTTGAGGACCAGCAGCCAGTCCGCCCTCTTGGGCTTCATGGCCTTCACCCAGAACGCAAGGACCACGCCGAGATTCTCATCGCCGGGGGACAGCGACACGACGCGCGGCATCAGCGCCCTGCAGCGGTTGGGCAGCTTGGGGGACAGGCCGCGCATCGCCTGCTCCTGGGGCTCGGACAGGTCGGACCCGAGCTCATCCCACCTGAACCTCGGGGTCTCCTCCGCCTCCACCGCCGCCGCCTGCGCAGTCCCCGCCGCCCGAGGCCGCGCCTTCGCTCCAGGGCGGCCGGGCGCGCTCTCGCGTTGCGAAGACGCCCTCGTGGTGCAGGCCCTGGAGGTTTTCGCGACCAGCGAGTGGAATGCCGGGGCAGCGAGCGACACCATGGGAGCTCGCCGGAGAAGGCGAGGAGGGAGCTGAGCAAGGAGCAGAGGGCTCTATCCAGTGGCACGATCGAATCTGAACCGTCCAACGATGGGAGATCCGATCGAGCGGCCAGGATGCTCGTGTAGCTTTCCCAGGGAATATCCCCACCGTAGATGCCAGATCGAACGGGCGTGCGTGACGTGGGACCCACCGGCGCGGCGGCCAGATATAAATAGGCGGCCCTGGCTACCCCGCATTCCCCTCTCGGTCTCGCTAGGGTTTTGGGATTTTAGCCTCCAGCGCCGCCGCCGCCGCCCAGCGAATTCGACAAGCCCCCGAGCTCGCCGGATCCGATGGCCGTCACGTTCTCCGACCTCCACACCGCCGACGGGCTCAAGGCCCTCGAGGCGCACCTCGCCGGCAAGACCTACATCTCCGGGTGAGCACAGTTGCCTACCCTACTCACTCGCTGTACTCGATCAGATCTGCTAGTTCGTAGTGGTCTGCAGTTGGATTGCCTAGTTTTGAACTGTTCCGCTCTGCGATGGCGATGCCTAGAGCATGAGATCTCGTCTCCTTAGCTTCGAATTTCGCAAATCTGGCGAACTGATTTGGGGCGTGGCGTCTGTGTTTGCTTATCGGTAGTGTTTGTGATGCTTCTGCAGCGATGGGATCACCAAGGACGACGTCAAGGTGTTCGCGGCGGTGCCCGTGAAGCCCAGCGCCGAGTTCCTGAACGCTGCCCGCTGGTACGACGCCGTCGCCGCGGCCGTTTCTTCAAGGTACGAGCTTGCTGTTCTACCTTAATATGCTGTCACTAAGCTTGGCAGATTGATCTGCCGTATGGATGGGCGTAATTATATGCGTGGTTGCTTCATATGTTGCTGATTATGCAGGTTCCCTGGCCAGGCCTCTGGGGTGAGTGCATCCTCGGCTCCTGCTGCAGCTGCTCCTGCTGCTTCCAAGGTGAGGGTTTGAGCACTTGAGCTGTGGCTTTTATTTGCCCTTGAAGGCTTTATTGTTACGTTAATAACTTCTATAGTGGATGCTTCACATTATAATGAATTTTTGCAGAAGCACTATCCCAGTTACATTTATGTCAGTCGTCATGGATCTGTTTTGGATTCAAACATAATTATTGTTTTGCATTATGTGTTTGGCCTTCTTGCAGGATGAAGATGATGACGATGACATGGATCTGTTCGGCGATGAGACCGAGGAGGACAAGAAAGCAGCAGCTGAGCGTGAGGCTGCCAAGCCTGCAAAGAAGAAAGAAAGTAAGCTCTACTAGTGTTGTGTGCTTAATTACCTACTGACTACTAGGCAATTATCCTGCAGCGTTCATCTAGTCTGGCTTATATTGTCGTTGTCCAGTTTGTGCTAACACCATGCTCATTTAGGTGGCAAATCCTCCGTCCTCATGGACATCAAGCCATGGGACGATGAGACTGACATGAAGAAGTTGGAGGAGGCTGTCCGCAGTGTTCAAATGGAGGGTCTCACCTGGGGTGCATGTAAGGAACTCATTACTTTTCATAGTATTTATCTCTATTATAGCTCACTGATGCAACAGTTTGGCGAAGTTGACACCCTGCTTTCACTCTTGCAGCTAAGCTTATGCCTGTGGGTTATGGCATCAAGAAGCTCCAGATCATGCTGACGATCATCGACGACCTTGTGTCTGTCGACACCCTTATTGAGGAAGTGCTCTGTGAGGCGCCCATCAACGAGTATGTCCAGTCGTGTGACATCGTTGCCTTCAACAAGATCTAGAATCTTTGTTCGCCCACCTGTTGCTGCTGGATTCTTGGTACTGGGATTGGTTGATCTGGAAAACATTATGTCGTCCCATTTAGTTACCCCTCTTACAGAAATGCTACTGGTTTTGTTTTTGAGTGATGCCCTGGTCTTGAATGCCTGCTACCTTTAAATAGTTGAATTGCTGAGCGGTTTGTAATGGCGAAACATCTATCATGTGGAGTAAAATCAGTCTTTGATAACTGTGATAGGATGATCCAGATGTTCTTGTTTACAGTTGTTTCCATATCTGAGCTGTGACTCGGAACTCGATCTTACCACCAAGCAATAAGAAGCTCTCGTGCCTAGAGCTGTACGTTTGCTTAATCGTTTCAATTTATGGACTTAGGAGGATTGCGCAGCCTTAAGCCCTTACACACTTTAGAATCCCTAAAGGAACTGGGTGTTCAGGTGGATAAGATAACTGAAGTGTTGCTTTGAGAAGCAAGAAGGCAGGCGCTGGAAATCAGTGCACGTCCTTCACAATCATGGGTAAGCATGTCATTTTGACACATGTCTACCAATTAAACTTGCCACCTCGTGTCAACTGAAGTTGCCATGCTCAAAATCCGACAAAAAAACCACTTGCCACCTCGTGTCAACTGAAGTTGCCATAAAAAACGTTTGAGTTGCCATGTTTAAAATCTGACAAAAAAACCACGATTTGTTTCCGGTTCCTTCAATGGTCGGGCACTCTGCATCTACTTTTAGTTAGTGCCAGACACAATGGTCGGGGTACTCTGCATCTACTTTTAGTTAGTGCCAGAGACAAAAAATCACGATTTCTTTTTGGTTCCTTCAATGGCCAGGCACTCTGCATCTATTTCGTAAATGCGCAGGACGATGATTTATAACCAAACCATGAGAAATAGCATGATACTAACAAATCCCACTTCTACAGTGCGTCTGATCAGCTATGACAATTTTGCAGAAGACTCCATTTTGCTCTTTAGACCAGCCAATCCTCCCTCCCACCTAATCCAAAAGAGGAATATATTTAGGGTGATATGTATGAAAACTAGGGTAATTTTTTCATGTTTGTGAACATGTAGAAGTCTATTTTAAATATGCAGTGGCAAAAGAGAACATGATCTATGGTAACCAAAAGGAATAGAGTCCAAAATTACCTACCCGATAATTTTATTTTACAACATGAAATTTAGGAATGGAGCAAGTTCTTAATACTCCCTCTGACCCAAAATAAGTGTCGTAGTAGTTCAAATATAAACTAAAACCGCGACACTTATTTTGGATTGGAGGAAGTACAATATTGCTATATGTTTTCTCGCTTAGAAAAATCACCTCTCCTCACCGCAGTGGTGGACCTAGATTTCGACCTATGTGAAGGCAACATTATGAAGGGTTGAAGTTTTGGAGTATTTAGGCTGCACCAAAATTAATATAATGGATATATGCATATGCATGCACTATTAAAAAACATTTTGCAATCTTTTTGTGGGGGGCCATGGCCCCCCAGTGGATAAACACATCCTTCTACAGGCTCGGCCAATCGTTGCCTTCCGACAAAAGAATTCCATAGGATAATGAGGAGAACTACTCGCTATGCACCAACTGTGTTTCTGAATAATTTAAAGATTGCTCTCCATGAGTGTCGCGCAGTGACCAACAAGTGTTATGCATTCACAGCAGGCCTTGGTTGATGCAAGCATCACCTTGGCGTCGGTGTTCATGTCGTTGATGGCTTCCATCAAGACTATTTTGCTGTTTAACACACACGTTTCCATTCATCGGCACGACCAGCTGATCCAGGATCATGGCCAATGGTTCAAGGTACTGACTAAGCACACGCATTCTTCAATGCTTCACAAAGACGAACGATCTCCAAAACAAACCCTGTCTTTACTCCTTCGCATGGGTTCAACCATACACTCGTCCTCTTGTCCACAACATATGCTACTTCATTTGATAGTTTTGTGCTTGTGACGAGGAACATCAAGTTAGCCAACTTGCTTGTAGATCACACATCAAAAACCCCATTTTCTCTTCGTTGTATCCCTTAGAGGTTAGAGCACATCAGGCCCTAGATGCATGCACACGCATGCGCGCGCATGTGTGTGTGTGTGCCCCGGGGGGGGGGGCATGAGCCCCCTGCGTTTCCCACAACCCCCTTCTACATGCCTTTGTCATCATATGATATAATGATTTTCATGCAATTCTTGGGTTCTAGAAGGTTCCAGGGCTCACTGCCTAAGTGATAAGTCATAAGGCAAGGCAGACACCTTAGAGAGTTCTAAGCAGCAGCATGAAGCAACATTTGGTAGGCAACTAGGCATACACAGTACACATCTTGCGCTTGCTGCTGGTTGTAGAGCCCATATAGAATCCATCCTCTTTGCACTTTCTCTTTTCCCCAACAGTAATCATGCATTATTCTAACCATCCAGGCATCCACTAACCACTATGGAGGTGTTTGGTTGCGTCATCGTTAACGTAACCAGTAACGTAATTAGGTTACACCATGTTGTCGCTGTAATCGGTGTATTTCTGGTTTTGCTTGGTTCGTTCAGGTAACGGTAACAGAGAACTCAACGATCGAAGATACAAGAAAATGAGGGCTATGGCCGCGTGATTCTCCTTCTCCATGGATAGATCACCGGTCATGGACACCAAGCTCAGGTGGCGCTGCTGGTGGTGGCGGCAGCGATCCGGCAGGGCGGTGGCGGCGCCACTGCTCCAACGCCGGTGGCAGCGACTGGCGGCACTCCGGCGGGGCGGTGGTGCTCCGGGAAGGCGGTGGCGGACGAAGAGAGAGATCTGGCAATGGTTTGACTGATGGATTCTGGCTTCTTTGGCGGAACGAGAAGAGGACTTGAGCGAGAATAGCAGATCGAGATGGGATCGCTTTACGACCAGAGGTGGGCGTAATGGGATTTGAAATAGCAATGTAATTCGATTACGTAGTATTCAATAACAGCCTAACTCAACCAAACACGGGGAGCGGATTTGGATAGCGCTGTAATCAGGTACCGACGCAAAAACTGTGAAACAAACACCTCCTATAAGAGAGGCAGTGAGCAACCAGCAAAGCAACTAGCACAAAGTAGTGAGCAACCAGCAAAGCAGGAAGCAATGAACAACTGAAAAGCAGCAAGCAATGAACAGCTGAACATGGAAGAAACAGAGCAGAGGAGGGAGAAGGGGGAGGGAGAGGAGTAGAGGATGGGGGAGGTATATCTTGGCAGTTGGCTCCTTGCTGTTGCCT